AGTATTAGCGTTGTCGTTTAGGGCTATCATATTTATCTTAGTGCATCACATGGTTATCATATTTAACTCACGTTTCAGAACTTTTCTGAGAAAATAGCAATAGTGCTTTACAAGCAGCATAGCCACTGAAGTCAATATGGAAGATGTTCTGTAGCGTAAAGCCAAGTTCAATGTATACCTCTATGCGTTGCTAAAAACTAGAACTGAACAGAAAGAGTTGTTAACAACAAATCAAAGGACGAACCAGACATTTGAAAAATAAGAGGACACCTCAACATTACCGTTTTCACTCTATTAAAGATTTCTGTCTCTCGAATTATGCTTTAAAATCTTATTAAACTGCTTTTTTTTCCAAGATACTGTTACTATCAGACTGTAAAATACAAGTAATAATGGCACATTGAGATTAGGCGGACCTGCTCTACTACTTAAATTTAAGCAAGCTTTTCATTCAAATTAAGGTAAAATAGAACTGAATAGAACACGCCGGTATTTGACTTCATTATTCTCAACTAGGGAGAAAAAAAGCTGAGATGGGGAGCCCAAATTCTCTAAACTTACCTGCTGTTCATTTCTCAGCGACAACTTGGTAGTAACAGCGATCGAGCGGATAACGAATTACGGAATGGAAGAAAATGTATTCGGTAGGTGTAGTAATAAGATCAAATATTAATATGCATGAGCGTTGATCAGTTTCAACTATTAGGCGTGGCTACCTCTACATGTAGTAATTCAGCTTTTACATCCTTCTAACCAAAGAAGTATATTGTGCTTAATTTTGTTAAAAAAATATAAACATTCTACATCGATTTGACTTTTATTAGTAAGCAATGATCTAGCATTTTCGCGAAGTTGATTATGAACGGAACAGATGTCGCAAATTTTTACATGATTACCAGAAATGATTATTTGTTACTCATTAATGTTGATAAATTACTTGATGTTTTTAGAAACCTTCAATGACCCTCACGTTATTAACTGTCTATGCTAATACAAAGTTTCTTGCCTATGTGACTAAATGCTCTAAACCGACACGGACTTCAAGGTAAGGGTCAACTCCACATATCACCAAAATAAGTAAGGCTCTGTCAAAAGTTCTCGATGCATGTGAAAACTTTTTAAGCAACTTTATCGTACTTTTTGGAATCTTGCTTAATGTGATTCATGACACTGCTCCCCTTGCTGTCTTAGTTCCAAATAGTTCCTAATTGATCCTTCCGTTCTAGGCACCAGAAAAGCTAGCTGTAAACATGTCGAGGTCTTAAAAAGAAGAGAAATGGAGCATACATAAAAATATTCTGAATGTATTTGCACCTCTTGAGATGAGACTTGCTCAAACAGTCAAACAATTACACAA